CACTCCTTAATTAAACCTTGGGGTCATAAAGATTCCTATATTTTTTCTTTAATTTGATTTTATTAGGACCGGGTCCACCATAAATCGGATACAGAAATATAGAACGGGGTAGGCAAAGAATAACTTTATTACTCAGAGCACGACCACACATGTGAATTGCGATAACTCACACGCCCCATCCATTAAAATTATGTGGTTTGCCGTGGACAAGTCCGCGCAATAGATTATGATAACTCACACGTCCCATCTGCCAAAAACCATGCGGCTCAATAAAAAGACAAAAAGCCAGCAACAGCCACATAAATTGTAGCTAGGTGACGCTAACAAAATTATCAAACAGGATAACAATCCTTGCGTGGGGTCTCAAAAAAATGAAATTCAAGCTAGTACACCTAAGGCATGGCATCCAATATGTGGTTGAGGGATTTTTTTTTTTTTTTTTTTTCTCGTTTTTTCTCTTTCGACTTTTAACAAATCATAATTAAGAAGTATAAGAATGAAGTACAACTTGTTGGAATATCTATTATTTTAAGGTACCAATCATTTACTAAACAAAAGTTATATGTAAAAATTTGTGTGGGACTGTCTTACAGATCCTTTATAAGTAAAGGACACTTTATTCTTGATCAGTACAATATTACATTTCTATTTTGAGTCGACCTATCTCACGAATAAGGATTCATGAGACAGCCTCAAAGGAGAGTCACTCAAACTTATAACTTATGGGTCATACATGTACGTGTGAGACCGTCTCATGGATCCTTATCCCTGAAACGGGACGGGTCGGGCTAATATGCAAATGTACTACTTATACTACCAAATGTAATACTATACAATCGTTATACCGTGCACCAGGGCGCATATAGCAATGTGCGCCCCGCGCCCCCCAAAACGACGTCGTTTTTGTATTTTGTTATAAAATTATTCGTTTTCAGGTATAAAATTCTGTACATTCGAAACAGGGGATTTTTATCTTTTTAAAAAAGATTATGTGTTTTTAGGTACAAAATTGTGTTTTCTATTATATAATTCTGTACATTCGAAACATGGAAATTTTCAGTTATAAAAATTATTGTTTTCAGGTATAAAATTCTGTGTTTTCTATTATACAATTCTGTACATTCGAAGCATGAATTTATTATTATTATTTTTTAATTAAAAACACTCAAAAAGGTCAAAACGACGTCATTTTGGGCCAGGTCGCACAATGCACTGTGCGCCATGGTGCATGGTATAATTTGCCAATACTATATCAGGAATAAAATATTTGTTACTAAGGGAAAACATAATATTTTTGAGAACAAATGTAATACTTTTATATTTTGATGTAAAAGTATTACTTTTTTCATTAAAAAAGTGTTATATTTCCCCTTATAAGTAATGTTACACTTATAAAGGAAAATGTAATACATACTTTTACATTAAAATATAAAAGTATTACATTTGACCTCAAAAGTATTACATTTTCTCATATAAGTAATAAACATTTTATTCTTGATTTAGTATTACATTTAATAATATAAGTATTACATTTCATATTTATCTGACCCGTCTCACGAATCTCAAACAAATTTTTACTATAACTTATTTGTAACTAAAAATATGTTATAAGTTTTAAAATAAGTTAAATCAAATAGAGTCAAGTCTTCAACAATCTCTAACGGAGGGTGTGAAACGTGGATGGTCTAAAAATGATTTAGATTTTTTCTTTCTTTCCCTAATGTGCCAAAAGAATTCTAAAAAATAAGTGACTATACTAGTAAGTCATTAGTGGGTTGCAATCACTAGTCAAAAGAGGACATTTTTTAAACCAAATTTTCAACTATTTGCCGTATCTAGCATGCTTTATTCACGTGCAGCACAGTTTTAATCAAAATTAAGAAGCATAATCATAAAAATAATAATAATATAAGGTCGAAATCTCAAATCAATTAAAATATATATTCTTGCATACCATAATATAATATAATATAATATAATATAATATAATATAATATAATATAATATTTTTTGAATAATAATATAATATAATATAATATGATGTGAACACCTAAATTCCAAACAAACAAAAAAAGATTTAAAAAATTAAAATTGTGCCTAACTAGAAAGAGACTTTAAAAGAAATTACGTCAGTATAAAGAATAAGATATGTATAATAAATTAAAGCCACAATGTACGACAAAAATGTTTTGGTGTGAATCAATTTTACCAGTTATTATCCAAGGAAGAAAAACAAACAATGTTAGTTGGGTTGATAAGGATGTTTCATTTTAATTAATTGTTACGGGTCTTTGTGAATTTGCATCTGTAAGAATAATTTTTTTTAATGACATTAAATTTGATTCTTGTTGTCAATTCAAGCAATCTTTCTTGATTTGTGATTTGTTAATTTATATAATATAATTTTATGGTCCATTATTATTATTATTATGCATGCTAAAGTATGGTATATATAATGAATGGTAAGCTGTGGATATATTGGATGATATATGTTTTGGTGTTTTGGTTTTATCAGATGATGGAAATTATGAATAAAAGCAAATGCATAGTGTTCACAGGACACTCAGTAGGAGGAGCAATAGCCTCTCTGGCAACCCTTTGGCTTCTATCCTATCTGCACACCATTTCTTCCTCTCCCAATAAATTATCAGTTCTGTGCATCACATTTGGCTCCCCAATGCTGGGAACCCATTCCCTTTGCCAATCCATTCTTCAAGAAAGATGGGGTGGGAATTTCTGCCATGTCGTTTCGCAGCACGATATTGTGCCAACCCTCTTCTTTGCTCCCTCACTCCCTGATTCTCTCCCCCACTTATCTGATGAATATAAAGTTGAAGTATTCAAAGCGGTTTTGGTGAGTCTTGAAAAGCTATCAAAAGGGCATCAATGTGAGAGTGTGTATAGGCCATTTGGGAGCTATTTTTTCTGCAGCTCCATGGGAGCCATCTGTGTAGACAATGGCACAGCCATTGTCAAGCTACTTTACTTGATGCTGAGCAAAAGCTCGCCCGCTTCTAGCTTTGAAGACCATTCCAAGTACAAGGATTATATTGATAAGATCAATTGGCAATTCTTGGAGAGAGGAAACTCTTTGGAAGAAAATTTATCTGAGTCTAGCTTTGAAGCCGGGATCATGTTGGCATTGCAGTCATCTGGAATATCTTCTCATGTAAAAACGATGCTATATATATATATTTTTTGACAGTTTAGCTTAGTTTAATCACTGCTGGAAATTATGGAATTTCCGACCACCTGAAAGTGATCTTAAATCAAGTCGAAAGCAAAAAGTGGTCAGACATAGCTAACAAAGGTTTTTCCAGATATCAAAAGTGGTCGGAACAAGACTTTCAATTTGATTTAAGATCACTTTCAGGTGGTCGGAAATTCCATATATAATTTCCAGCAGTGAATTTACATATTTAATCATCTCTGGTCTGCTTGCAGGAACCTAATTCTGGGGAGGCGAAAGAGTGTTTGAAGATGGCAAAGAAACTGGGGCGTACAAGGAACCTAAACAGTGCAAACCTGGCCATAGGTTTATCCAAAATCAATCCTCTAAGAGCACAAATTGAGTGGTATAAGCAATTGTGTGAGGATTCTGATGATCAGCTGGGGTACTATGATGCCTTCAAGCTCCGCGGTGCCTCTAGAAAGGACTTCAAAGTGAATATGAACAGAATAAAGTTAGGCCAGTTCTGGGATTCTTTGATTGAGAAGCTGGAAACAAACCAACTGCCACATGATTTTAACAACAGGGAGAAATGGGTTAACGGTTCTCATTTCTACAAGCTCCTCGTCGAGCCATTGGAAATCGCAGAGTATTACAAAACCGAGATGCACCTCAAGAAAGGGCATTACCTGGAGAATGGCAGGGAGAGGAGGTTCAAGATTTTCGACAAGTGGTGGAATGACAAGAAGGGTGAGCCTGGGAGAAACACTACTACATCTACAAGAAGCAAGTTTGCAAGTGCCACACAAGATTCGTGCTTCTGGGCTCGGGTAGAGGAAGCTAGAGACAGGCTGAATAAGGTTAGAAGCGAGGCTGATTTAAGCAGACGGTGCATGCTCCTGGATAACATTGACAATTTTGATAAGTATGCAATGAGGATTATCAATGAGAAGGAGGTGTCTAAAGATGTTTTAGCTAGAAACTCAAGCTACAGTTTGTTTGTACGCGAGTGGAGAGAACTCAAATCGCAGCTGCAGCTATTACTTCCTCAATATCTTTCATAGATGTATTGTTATGATTCTAAGAAATTAAACACTGAGGTTCTGTTGCCTGAATAAGTAGGAAAGACTAACATGCCACAGAAGTAGCAGTGATGTATTATTATATTGTTGTGAACATCAATCAATAATATATATATGTAATAGATTATTTTCAAATACAAACCCCCCCTTAAAATACAAACTGTGTGTATGTAAGTATGTTAATGTGTGCACGAGCTAATCCTAGATATTGTTGGCAGTGCGCCCTGCGTGTATGTATGTTAATGTGTGCACGAGCTAATCCTAGATATTGTTGGCAGTGCGCCCTGCGTGTATGTAAGTATGTTAATGTGTGCACGAGCTTTGATGGATGATTGTGATTTTTCCTGCTACGCGCTGTGTGCATGTAAGTATTTTAATGTGTGCACGAGCTTTGATGGATGGTTGTGATTTTTCTTCCTCGCACTGTGTGCATGTAAATATGTTAATATGTGCACGAGCTAATCCTAGATATTGTTGGCAGTGCGCCCTGCGTGTATGTAAGTATGTTAATGTGTGCACGAGCTTTGATGGATGATTGTGATTTTTCCTGCTACGCGCTGTGTGCATGTAAGTATTTTAATGTGTGCACGAGCTTTGATGGATGGTTGTGATTTTTCTTCCTCGCACTGTGTGCATGTAAATATGTTAATGTGTGCACGAGCTAATCCCAGAAATTGTTGACAATGCACACTCTGTGCATGTAAGTATGTAAATGTGTGCACGATATTCAAATACAAACCCCCTTAAAATGAATGCAACCCTATATATAATCCTTCCAACATGTAAATATGTAAATTAAACTTTGGCAACATCAATGTTTCTTACAGGTCCCTTGAACCATTTTCTTGCATCCACAACCCACCAAAGCAAGACCAAACCCAAGCCTATTCCCAGAGCAACTGGAGCATAGTTGAAAGTGTCCCAGGCAATTGGATAGGCTGTTGGCAGAAGGAAGACACAGCAGGTGTAGCAAATCCACAGAAAGGCTACCAAGCAGACAGGCCTTCTTGCCTTCCCCAAATAAAATGGCCCCGGCTTAAAATCCTCCTCGGCCATCACAATGCGGGCGAAGATTGGAACTGCATAGCCCCCGACCCATCCTATTGTACAGATGGATGTTATGGCAGTGAAAACTATACTCCCTTGCAGTATGGGGAGTCCAAGAAGAATGCATATAGCTGCACACAGCCACACTGCGTTTGCAGGAACTTTGCGTTTGGAGTGCACTTTTTGCCAGATGGATGAGAAAGGGATTCCTTGATCTCGCGATAGGGCATAAACCTGAAGATCAGATCGAATTAAAAGATAAATATACTTTAGTTGTGCTGCTAAAACATAAAGTTGACAGGGGAAACCTACAACTCTGGCTGCACTAGTCGTTATTGAGAGCCCACCAAAGAAGAATGAACCCCATATGATAAAGAGTAAAAGAATTGCTCCAGTAGAATTGTGGTATCTCCCGTGGAACGCATCGTACAGAATTTGAGCTGGTACAAATACTCCTGCAGTTTCATTTGATCTATCATACAAGTAACTCGGATCCTGCACCACACAAACCACAATCCAATTCACCAATAATCTAATTTAATCGGAATGATGAGAACAGACTCATCAATCAAATGATACATGCCTGGATGCTGAAAGTTAGAGCCAATATATACGCCCATCCGAAAACTGAGATTATCCCTATGCTACAAAGAATGGCAATAGGACCATTTCTATCTGCACCTTTTGTTTCTTCAGTGAGATGTGCAGCAGCATCATATCCATATAACGAATACTGACTAACCAGAAAGGCGAGTACAGTTGCATAAACTTTGCTGGAGACCCCAGTAGACTCCGATCCCAATTCAAATGCAGTGAACACATATGAAGCTGACTGTGTGGTTGGTGCCACAAGAGGAAGCATAATAACAATAACCAATCCCCCACAAACCTGTCAAATTAAATTGAATTATCTACTTACTATTGAGTCTGAAAACTACGTACACAAGTCGTTAGAAATGTAATTATATATACCTGCCACCATATGGAGATGATATCAATAAAAGCAATAACTTCTAGTGCAAATGTATTAAGAAATGCCCATATAAGTGTAAGAGCAATGTAAATGCACAAGAATAGCCAACGCGGAGCCAAGTATCCTCCATCTTTATTTGTCCCAGTACATAAAAGAATTATGCTTTGCAATGTCTGTGTTCCTGCATAAGCCTAAAAAGCAACCAAAACAGAAAAAGGCATTATATTCAGCATAAACCTTCACATTTAATTGGGAATTATATTGAAGCATGTGTTCAATCTCAACTATCAACTAAAAGCCTAAGCTGATAGTTGGATTGCACATTAATGGTTATATGCTCAACAAAGGGAAGTGTACGTACCTGTGTTCCTATCCCAGCTACTAGCCCTATTGTCTCAAGCCAAGCGCAGCACCACGACGCAAATGGACCCCATTTCTGGCCTGCTAAATGTGCAGCCCAGAAGTAAAGAGAACCTGTTGTCTGTTTTTGGAGGGAGATGGAGTTAACAGAAATGAAGAAATTAAAGTATGATGTGCAGACCAGAAGCATGCTAGCTATCTGAGCTGCAGGGTAAATTAAATAAAAGAAAAGATTGCACTATATGTACCGGAAAAGAGGAGCAAATTTCAGCCATTGCGATTCCGACAAAGCATGTGAAGAATGAAACCACAAGCCAGCCCCAAACAAGAGCTGCAGGCCCTGCGTACATCAAACTGGAACCGTACAATGGAGTGATCCCAGTGAAGAGAGTCATAGTTGAAAATGATATAGCCAGCGTTTTGAACAAAGTCTGCAGCGAAGGGGCCGAATCCAATATTAATTACGTTAATCATATCGCCTCAAAAAAAAAAGAAAAAAAAGAGGGGGGAATTGAAGCTTATTAAGTACGTTTACCATTTCTCTTCTAAGTTCTTGCTTGTAGCCCAGTTCATTGAGCCGCTTCTCTCCTGAATCCGCAGCCATTTCCATTCGTTCTGTTCGCTTCAGCTCCAGAGAGAATTCAACAAGAGATGAACTACTGAAATGAAAGAAAAACAAAAGTGGGGTGCTCAGCTCGATTCCCCGTTACGTTAGGTTGCTTTTGAGAACTGGTAAACGCTCTGATTCTTTTAGTCAAGAGTTGAAAATTAAGTAGGAACAGGCCGGCAAGTGGTGTGGGAAGACTTTGAAATTATTGCCACTTGCTGCATCATGTGTGAACGTAACTTTCATTATATTTTTCACTCAATATCACAAGTAGATTTTTTTTTTTCAAGGTCCAGTCCACATGAGATGATGCAACACGCAAATAGTTTAGCACATCCAAAAAAAAAAAAAAAAGTGAAGGAGTAGAAACTCATTCTTTGATCTGCTTTTAAGATCGATTGATTACACGGGAAATGGAGATGGAGAGCGGAGACAATTCTAACTTTGCATGCTGCACCTCAACTCCATACACACTGCACACAGTTATTTTTGCCTGAATTGGCAGTTCTCAACTGTAGTGTGTTGACTTCCATTATTCATGCTGATTCATTGCATTCAATTTTATTATTCTTTTTTATTTTTTTTTTTACTTTTTTAATGCTACTGACTTTATTACATTGTAGTATCTGTTCACAACCTAATGAAGCACAAAGAGTCAATAACGCATTCACTGAAGTTCGATCCCATGACCTCCCACATATAAAAAAAAAAATCACTACATGCCATCTGAGCACAAACATTAAACTTAATGTAAATATAATATGCAAAAACATGTGCAAGTATTGTTTTTCATATAAAATTTTTATTTTAATTTTATCTCGTCAAATCATCATTGAACTTAAAGTAAATATAATATGCAAAAACTTGTGTGAGACCGTCCCACGTATTATTATTCGTGTGATTAAGATTAAATGTACTCCGTAATACTTATACTAGCAAATGTAATACTAAATTATGAATAAAAAGTTATCACTTATATGGAAAAGATAAAAGGGTCAAATAGGCCCCTAAACTTTACCCCAAAGGTCAATCAGGCCCCTAAACTTTTAAAAAGTTCAATTAAACACTCAAACATGTCAAATCGGGTCAATGAAGCCCAAAAACCGGTAAATGACATGTTATAACAGGTCATTTCAATTCCAGCGATGGATTCCGGCCACCGACGACATTTTCCGGCCACCAGCGACATTTTCCGGTGACCGGCGACATTTTCCGGCCGTCCGGTCGTCTTCGACATTTTCAGTAGGTAGGCGCCCGTCTGCCGCCTTCTCCAGTGGAGAAGATGACCAGATCTGGTCGTCTTCTCCAATGGTGAAACCAATCGATATGAAGCAATGGTCTCCAATATGTGTGGTCCATCATTTATTCCGTTTACTACGGAAAATGAACATGATGAAGAGCCACATACTAGTGCAAAGAACTTCTACGATTTGTAAAATGCTGCCAAACAACCTTTGTCATCGAGCTGTGTTGAAGAAACAGAATTGTCATATATACTCATGATGATGAATATCAAGACAACGTTTAACATACCACAACAAGCAATGGATCAGATATTTGAGTATAATAACTGTATCATGGGCCTTGACAATCGAGTTCCCTTTAAGTATTATGATTCAAAGAAATTGCTTACAAAACTTGGTCTTGGTTATGAGAAGATTGATCGTTGTGTGAACAGTTGTATGTTGTACTATAAGTCCAATATCAATGACAAACACTGTAAGTTCTGTGGGGAGCCTAGGTTTAAACCACAACCATCTGGAAAATAAGTGCCACAAAAGAGGATGCATTACTTGCCTCTCAACCCTAGATTGCAGCGTTTGTATGCTTCACCCAGTTCTGCTTCACACATGCGATGGCATTATGAAAATCGTCGCGAGAATGGTATTATATGTCATCCTTCAGATGGTGAAGCATGGAAACACTTTGATAGTAAACACCCTGATTTCGCATCAGAACCTCGAAATGTCAGACTGGGTTTGTGTGCTGATGGGTTTTCTCCTTTTGGTTCTAATGCAAAACCATATTCTTGTTGGCCAGTTATGGTTGTTCCGTATAATCTTCCACCTTCAATGTGCATGACTACACCATACATATTTTTAACATGTATTATCCTTGGGAAGCATAACCCAAAAACCAACATTGATGTACTTGCATCCTTTAATTGATGAGTTTCAATTGTTATGGGAAACAGGTGTGTTAACTTATGACGTGTCACTCAAACAGAATTTTATGATGCGTGCTGCATTGATGTGGACTATCAATGGTTTCCCTGCATATGGTATGTTATCCGGATGGCAGACATCAGGGAAACTAGCATGTCCATATTGTCTTCAACACTCTAAATCCTTTTATTTGAAGAATGGTCATAAAACATGTTGGTTTGATTGTCATCGCCAATTTCTTCCTATGAGTCACTCATGGAGAAAAATCAAGATGCTTTTGTAAAACGACGGGTAGAAAAATCAATACCGCCACAATTTTTGACAGGTGATGAGTTGTTTAATAGTGTGAAAAAATTTCCAAAGATTACCAATGGCCCAATTGGTCACAATGATGGGTTTGGACAGTCACCCAATTGGAAGAAAAAAAAGTATATTTTGGGATTTGCCTTATTGGAAGGATAACTTGCTCCGTCACAATCTAGATGTGATGCATATAGAGAAGAATGTGTTTGACAATATATTTCACACAATTATGGATGTCATAGGCACACCAAAAAATAAAGACGCACCCACTGCACGACTAGATATGAAAGATGTGTGTAATAGGTCAAAACTAGAGTTGGTGGAACAGAATGGATGTTTTATTATGCCCAAAGCAAGTTACACTTTGCAGAAAAATAATCAGTTGGCTGTTTATGATTGGTTACAGGCTTTGAAACTTCCTGATGGGTTTTCTTCTAATTTAGATACGTGTGTTGATTCTACATCATCTAAATTAATTGAGATGAAAAGTCATGACTGTCATATTTTTATGCAATTTTTGTTGCCAATTGCCTTCATGTTTTTACCAAGTTGTCATTGGAAGCCTTTAGCCGAGTTAAGTGTATTCTTTCGTAATCTTTGCTCAACATCCCTCTGGCTAGACAAAATATGTGAAATGGAAGATTCCATTGTTCTTACCTTGTGTAAGTTAGAACGTATTTTCCCTCCAGCAATGTTTGATTGCATGGAACACTTGCCTATTCATCTTCCATGCGAAGCACGCTTAGGTGGGCCGGTACAGTATCGTTGGATGTATCCATTTATAAGATTCCTTAATCACTTGAAGGCCAAAATGAAGAATAAGAGATATGTTGAGGGGTCAATTGTAGATGCATATATACTTGAGGAAACAACACATTTTGCATCATTTTATTTTGATGATCATGTGCAAAGCATAATGACAAAAATAGGTCGAAATCTAAATGATGGCAGAATTGACCCAAATGTGCCTATTACTTTGTCAATTTTTAATCGCCTAGGCCGACCAATGGGGGCTCGAAAGACAAGATATCTAAGTGCAGAAGAACACTTCATAGCTCATCAATGTCTTACTAAATTGTGAGGAGGTTCAAACTATTTTAAGGTATGTTGCATCTTTGCGACTGAATTTCTTTTACTATTTTTCCCTTTAACTTCTGGAAAGTCACATTTAGGTAATGCTATTTCTGATTGTTGCTTCCAGCACTTTGAATATTATATGTTGTTTGGGCAGTGTGATCTTTTTTTTTCTTTTTTTTTTTCTAGATTATTTGTTGAAGCTTTTAACATGATGGCTGGTTCTTTTTTCTTGAGACTCATTTTAGCAGCAGCTGAATAGCAGTAGTTGTATATTTGTATGCTGGATTCATGAACATGCCCTTCTTAGTTCTGAATTTGATATTCTAGATACTGGTGAATTCCAACACCTAGATTGTGATTCTGCTTCTTAGTTCTTACCTTCTTGATCATGTAAAGATAATGGTTTCTGGAAATTGTGTTTTTTTAGTGGACACAAGGGCACCAGGGCTGGGGTTTAGGATGATCATGTGAACCCTTGAATAGAATCTCTGTTAATTGTCCATAAGGAGTGCATTTAAATAACTTTTTGACTTTCACAGTTGGTATACTTACACTTGTAATAGCTTTGCAAGATATACCCATCATCTGATGATCTTTTCTATCAAAGTAAGCTCTTTGGTTCAGGTCATGACACTACATTTCACCAGTAGTAGCTGATGATCAATAATAATCAGTTTGAATACTGATTTTGTTTCACAATAATAATCAGTTTGAAGCAGATTTTTTTTCTAGATTATTTGTTGAAGCTTTTAATATCATTGTCTGGTTGTAGGATGTATGAGAGAGGTTTACGTCATTATAATCCTAATGTAACTGACGAGCAAGTTGATCATGAAGTTGAAAGAAATTTTGCAAAATGGTTTAAAGATTACGTAAGAATTTATATTAATTTCCATTCTTTATAGTATTCTTTATAGAGAGGTTTATGTCATTATAGTATACTATTACTTACTTGTTTACTAACATTAGGTGTACAATCCATTGAATAATGTGCATAACCAATGTCTGATTGATTTGGAAAATGGTCCTTTAATGGAGGTTAGCATGTACACTGGTATGTCGTTAACGGTTTCAAGTTTCAAACCAAAGTGCAATGTTTTAGAAATTCAATTTCGAACTATGGGGTGTCAATTAAGGGAACAAGTTTGGCACAACTTGAATCATACTTTTTTGGCACATTACAAGAGGTCGTTGAGGTTGAGTACCCTAATATTCCAATTAAAAAGGTTGTCTTATTTAAGTGTGAGTGGTTTGACCCAACACCTAATATTGGGGTACGATTCAATTCTGATCATGGTATCACTGAGGTGCAATGCAATAGAAGGTATAACAAGTTTGATCCTTTTATCATTGCATAAAGTGCATCTCAGGTGTGTTACATTCCATACCCACGAGGTATAAAGGAGAAAGTAAATTGATTGGTGGTATTGAATGTGCGTCCTAGAGGAACTATTGACAAAGCTTATAGTAATAGTGAAACTTATCAGCAAGATGACATGTCTTTGAAGAGATATGGTGAAGTTTCAACTCAAGAAGAAGTGACAAACTTAGTACACGAACCGTTACAAATAGATGAAGTGCAATTACCCCTGGTTAGACAAGAACGGTTGGAAGAA